AATCGGAATTCAATGAGAATTAGTATATTTGCTTACGCGTATACATGAAGTATACACTGTATCAGTACAATCAGAAGACGTTATACCATAGACGTTTAGTAGGTATGAAATAAATCCATACCTCAACTCCCCTCCAAATTTTCCATCCATCCCTCGCGTCTCCTGTAGAATTCAATTACTTTTAGAAGGATCAATTTTCTGAAATACGTAGAGATATTATGATTTCTGCTATACGATGAAACTGCATAATTAGTGTGTGTTAGCTAGAGATATACAGAACTTGATAAGAATGTCTGGTAAAAGAACAAGAGGTACCTATTAATTAAGATTTAGCACCTCGCACCAAGTAGAAGGCGCCAAATCTGTGTCGAATTTACTAGAAGCCTCAGAGCATTGGTCGCTGTTGGCGTGAGCAGGTTGCAGACATCCGAGCTCTCACTAATTTCTTTGCTTTATCTTAGGTAAGGTCGAGCATGCCTCGCAAGGCTTCAGTTTCAGGTACCTGCAAGGGGAAGAAGATGCAGAAGATGCTGAAGGCTCTACTGGAAAACGTAACCTCGTTTGCATTCCAGGTCCCCGTCAACTTCGGTATCCAGCGACGCTGGTGGAGAGGAGCAGCATATACGCATGTCTCGTTCTTCTTCCAGGTCGTCTGTGCCTTCGACCTCTCGTGCCAGCTCGCCTGTAGCTTCGACCTCGCGTTCCAGGTCGCCTGTTGCTAGTACCTTGCGGGCACGCTCACCTTTACCATCGCGGGGCAGGTCACCGCTGTCAGCGACACCAAGTGGAAGATCATCGGTGTCATTGACACCATGTGACTTGTCACGCATGTCTTCTGTTTCTCGTTCCAGATGGTCAGTGCCTTCAACCTCGCATGCCAGGTCACCGGTGGCTTCAACATCGTGGGCTCGTTTCCCCTCACCAAGTGACTCGTCTTCTCCTTCCAGGTCACCTGAAGCAGTATCCGGCAGTGATTATCCTCTCATGATTTCCCTCCCGTTTCTAGTGGTTCTAGGCAATCACAGGACCTGGATCTCTGGCTGAGTTCCGAGGACAGTCCCAGGTCAGCCGGTTCTGTAGCAGATGAGGGGGATGTTGGTGGTGATGATGCTGATGGCTTAGCGAAGATGACATCCTTGCGGAAGCGTATGTTTTCAGGTATCCCGGAGTAAGGCACCGTAGACCCACGTGCAGCAGCATCTTGTCTAACAGACTATGTTCGCAGATTTGTTGGAGGGAGTTAGCTGCAGTGTGTGTATGGGTAGAGTCCTGTTGGAACGCGACACAGTAGATAACGTCTCGGTATTTACTTTGGATTGCAGAATGTGTGGCGAGGTCTCCCATACATCGCCGGAAACTTTTCCTCTTACAGATACCACCAGAGGCGTCTTTACTGCGATGCTAGTGTATTGTAGCCTTGTTAATGATGACGGCTATGCCAGTTATTGCAGGGTAGCCAGTATGGATGGAAGCAGAATCATCAGTACACATAGGTATTATGATTATGCTCACTATTTGTATTCTCAGGCTGAGAGATTCTTTAACAGCAAGATCCAACTAGCACATGAGAGAGTGAAGGAGTTCTACAGGACCGACCAGAATGTAGCTCCTGACGCTGATGGTATTTCTGATATCATCGTTTCCTTCGATTGTGCTTGGGAGACCCGTGGGCACCAGAGTCACATCGGATTGGCGTTCATAGTTGAAGCTAATACTGGTGCCATTTTGGATAAGCAGGTGCTGTGTAACCTGTGCAGTGTTTGCGAGAGGAAGCGCCAATCCCTACCAGCTAATGACTATGCCAACTGGTTTCTCTCACATACCCATTGCAGTAAGAACTTCGATGGACCTGCTGGGCGGATGGAAGCAGAGGAGGCTCAAAGGATGTTTCTTCGTTCTACAGATTTTGGCCTGTGGTACGCTTACTTCGTTGGTGATGGGGATTCTTCTGCTTACAGGAGCGTCCGTTTTATCTATGGCCCCGACAGGGAGGTAGTAAAGTACGTGTCTGTGAATCACGTCGGGAAGCGGATGGGCACTCGGCTCCGTAAGCTGAAGGGGACTCTCACCACCCCGGTTACTACCCGCACCGGCCGGGTCATGCGCCGCTCCCTCTTGGCATGCACGCTAATTAATAAAAACATAGATCTTTCATCTAGGTTATCTACGTTGGCTTTGAAGCGCTCCATCAAACCAGCCTGGAGAACATGCGGAAGAACGCAGCGCGCCTTTTTACTATCATTCTTCCAACGATTTCTGGGTGCAGCACCAGTATTGTCCAGATGCGCAGACAGCTGGTGCTTTTACAACACGGCGAGAGCAGCAGGTCGAGTTCCTCGTTCTCATTCCCAGGAGAATCTCTTTCTCAGGACGGTACCGCCGGCAGTATTGCAGGAGATCCGAGCGGTATACGAGGACCTGACTAAAGATGACTTGCTTTCCAGGTGTCTTCCAGAGTACACACAGAACCCCAACGAGTCCCTGCAATCTAAAGTATGGCGCAAGTGTTCCAAGAGTAAATTTGCAGGTTTGGAACGTATGCAGTTCGTTTGCAGCCTCGTCTCTTTGGAGCACAATTTTGGTTTTTCGCAGGGAAGCTTTCTGCTGTACTTCCGATGGAAGATACCCCCACCCTGATTTCGAATTGCAGGTCCAGGGGAGGGAGTGAGAGTGAGCTGCAGCCAGAGCTGAGCGACGCTTCCGCCGCCGCCGTCACAGGTCTGTGACTCCGGAGGAAAGCGACTATGGAGCAGGGAGGTTCTGAGGCATTGACATCTGTTCTTACCTTCCAAGATTTTTTTTTTTTTTTTTTTTTCCCCAGAAAGATCACCTTTAGTTTATGATTAACGATATAATGTAACGTTATTTGCTATAGGTCTACCTAAAGCATAATAGTATTAGTCCTCATGGTTGTGCTGTATTTCGAAACACATCATGCATGTTTATGTGCATATATGTATATGTATGTGTATATGTGTATATATGTATGTATATCCATGTCTATATATTCATATATATACAAAATTGTAAGAATATATCACACATAACAAGAAATCACAAAGGATAATGCAGTATTATCTTATTACATGTAAAGTATGGTATACCTTGTGTAATTGACAATTACTAGCAAATCAGTGGTTTGTGTTGCAAGACAAAAGTTAACCAATGAAAACTTAAGTGACATCACTTTAACTGACCAATCAAAATACGTAAATTCATGGGAGCTCTGCTCTCCTCCCACAAATGGTTCAGTCTGTCTTTGTCTGTTGTTGAGAGGGAACAAGTGTTGAAAATTTATGTATATAAAAATCTAGCTTATTGCTTGCCAGTGCAAGATAAAGCTACTGTTGTATAAAGGTTGCTTACACATCTATAAGGCCATGACTAGATGTTGCAGAAGAATGTGGCCGCAACGTTTTAAAAGGTTAGTACGCGTACAGAAAACCGGGTAATATTTGTTCTTGAACAAAAGCTTACAATATTATTTTTTGCATTAAAATTACGATAAACGGACGGTTTATATAAATGTAAAAAAATTGTAGGTTAATTATAAATATAGTATGCATATGGTGTAAAAACGTGTCTATACAAAGATTTAAAGAGGGTAACGCGAGTGATTTTCAATAAACTTTATATATTATAGCATGCATAATGAATAATGATTTATAATATATAGACATAAGTTGCTGCGCTACTTATTTGAGTTATTATAATGACATACTGCATTTTTCTAGCGACACTGACGCACCCATCACAGAGTAAGACCCAAAACTTGGGTCTCTTGTGGCCCCCCCCCCCCAAAAAAAAATTCCTACCTTCAGTTTATTTTTTAAACAGGGAGGGAAGCCCTCATGGACCCTCACCCCTTTGACTAGTGCTTTGTGCTAACTTGGAGAAAACGAACATGGTGAACTCCATCTGTGTGAGGGTTTTGTGTACTTTCTGTAATATACAGCGAATATATAACTTATTTTATGGTAAATACAACGGTCCGATATGACTAAGATGGTATCCATTTCACCCTAGTTCTGTGCGTTGATCTTGGTACATTGTACATCATTACCCACGGTTGCAGTAAATTAAAGAGGCATGAAGTTCGAGCGCCACAAATGCAAGGGTAAATTCTATCATACGGCATATTAAAATTTGGTACGGAGTTGCTGGGCATGAAGCTACAACGGCTTTCAAAGCAGCTACCGTTTACAGAAAATAAAACTCAAAATAGGAAACGTCTAAAAGACATAATTGGTTCCGTTCAAGTTAATATATTGGACACGTGTTAGTTATATCAGAGACAGGCGCGGAGAGCGCGCCGATCATTGAAAGAGCGCTGCAACATTTACTCATACTGACAATATCGTCGGTCAAGATAAAGACCGACAATATCATTAAACATTGTCGAAAGATAAGCAGAACTATAAAAGTCATGTTGAATTATGAATTTTAGTTTTACGCATATTTTGGAGACATTCACATCGTTGGGGAATTTACTATGTCAGTAGAGTTGTTCACAATAATTTTAGGGACTCATTTAGTATATTATTATGATTTTAGGTTAATATGCATTTGTATTCATGTCAGTTTTATAACAAACCGTTTAGGAAGTCGGCGAAATACCGTTTTTCCACAGGCTATCAACATTACCATCGGCAAACCTCAATAAAATTGTCACTTCTCAACAATTCGTTTGCACAACGAATAACCTCTAGATTCATTCAAGTTAATGGATTACCGACACAAAAATATCAAAATTGTTTTGAAAGCAAGACCCCATCTTGAGTTTCAACAAATATGGTTTAAAGCTTTTTTTAGTTGTTTTGATATACTTTGCTGTGAGTAAATCATGCATATTCTTCCTAGAAATACAGTGTAAAACCTAGGCTTACACACTTAGGCAACCTTGACGTCAGGAAGTACAAGTTATGTCACTAGTCAAGCAGTCAGATGCGACGGAGAACAGCAGCATTATAGCTAAACAGTGAAGGAATAATACATTCCAAAAAAAAAAGTTTAAAAAATTGGAGGCTGGATGGCACTGAAAATGTACCGTAACCTGTGTCTTTTTTATTTAACGAACCTTAGGACACTCTTCTGCTGATGCCATGGCTGTAAACTAACAATACTCTTTAAACAAGCCACGTTTCAAATGGTAAATTACAAGTCACAACATATTAGGTCTTACAATGTAGGCATGCGTTGGTAGACTTCATTCCATGAGAGCAGAAGGATGAACGCCAGTCGCTAGAGGTCCACTGGGGTCTTCAAGCAGTACATAAAAGTTCACTAATGCTGCCTCTGCCCAGGGGAGTAACCAAAAGTCCAACTGCTGTCACTTCCCTTAATAGCGTGAACTGAAATAAATAAGGTAATTTTCTATATTACGTCCGCCGCTCCTAAATTGACGATTTTGGTATCATTGGATTCCTAGCACTGTCCTAATTGCAAATATATAGTTTTTATTGCGTGGAAACCCCCTATAGCAACAAACTTGGCCCCGATAGCAGGGGAGGGCATGAAAAGTTCCAGGGAAAATGAGGGGTTAAATAACACTGATAATATAACCCACAGTGAAAATAACCATGGTTATTCACACGAATAACCGTCCCTCAACCCCCGCCGAGAAAACAAAACCTCCACCATGTATTCACAGTATGCTAGAGCGTTACACAAATATAATCGATGTCGGAGCAGCGGACATTATATTACAATTACCTCATAACATTCCCACTGAATTAGCATACTAACCTTGACATAATCAGCATTGTATATAGAGCTGATTGTAGAATAATCAGGATGAACAAGGTATACCATGACCATAAGAGCGGCGGTGGCCCGCCCTCATCAGCTCGGCGGGTTTTGCGCCTTTTTCGATGCATCTACGTGTGCGCTCAATCCTGCCGTGAAGACGCGGTGGATTCTTTGTTACCTCGGCGGGGTTTGGGGGGCGGCAGCCCCCCCAGGGGGGTCGCAGGAGGCACATCTCCCTGCAATGGGAAGTCATGTGAATAACCAAGGTTATTTTCACCATGGGTTATATTATTAGGGTAACTTTCTATATTATGTCTGCCGCTCCGACATCGTCACCTCTGCTATCGGGGCCAAGTTTGTCACTATAGGGTGATTTCCGCGCAATAAACCTACATATTTGCATTGTATAGAGTGAGAGGAATCCAACAATACCAAAATCGTCAATGTCGGAGCGGCGGACGTAATATAGAAAATTACCATAAATAAATACATATATACAAAAATCAAGAAAACCTAAAACACATCTACATCGTCAATCTAGTTGAAATGGAGCCCAATACATCTCAAGAGCAAAGTAAACAGTTAATTTCCTTCAAGAAGATAGTACACATATAAAAACCACATGGAAAAACATTCCTTAATACATCCATTAAACAATTTCAACACACCTTTTACTGTAACTTCTCCAAAGAGTAAACGACTCGGCAACAAATTAATATAAAGAGATGTCCAACCGCTACAACACTGGCCACATGGTAGAACATCCACAGATTCCTATGACAAAATTAACATACAAAACATAGCATAACGCCATTATCACATATTTATCACACACTATGCCTTCACACCAATATCAAACATAATAATTGCCTTAATACTCACCAGAATACAAATCACAATAATAAAACTAGGGAGAAGGGCCAGAGCAATCCCTCAACTCCCAAGGTCAGTGCTTCGAGGGTTCGTAAAC